TGATTCTGGAAAACCAATCATTGAAAAAGCTTCGTTCATTAAATATTTTAAAACTTGTTCCCTTTCGTAAAAAAAGAAATTGAATATTAATAACATTAATATTATTAATTATTAATTCCATTTCATTGATTTATCTGCAACAACATTTAATGCAGATTTTTTAATAAGTTTATGTTTTCAACATTGTGTATATAAGTTGTTTATTTTTCAATTTCTACTTCTTCTGCATAACTATTACTATAACTATACGAATTGACTAAAACAATAATGCATAAGTGAACAATTTATGGTCAGATTTTAACAGAGAGTTTAGAGTCATGCTGTTCTTCATGGTTGTTATATAGTATTGGTAGTATTTTTATTTTGAACATCTTTAAATAATTATTGCTGATTCAATTCAAATATTTATTTAATTACCTATCACGAACATCGATTCATACAGCACCATCAGGATAAACATTATTCATTATACTTGAAATCTGGCGCCAATATCTCTTTAAGCAACCAAACTTCTCATGCACATAAATCGATTTAACGCGACAGCTCTTAAGCTTTAAGGAGAGTATTGATTGAGACCGACAAATGGATGAAAGACGGACATCGATGAGACCGTTATTTGTGGCCTGTCTTTCTTGTTCATGTGTGTTACAAACATACACGCTAAAAACAAATTATACTCTTCAGTGAAGGGAATACCAATCCGTCTGATTTTTTAATTTAAAGTGTAAAATATTGCAAAAAATATAATTTGTGTCATGCGATTCAAATGTTTATTAAAAAACATTTAAGGGAGGATAAAAAAAAGTTAATGTTTAAATTTAATTAAAGTCTTTACAAAACGGGCTGCAAACTCTAGGAAGTGGCGAGTTTATATTGTTGTTTAATGCATCGCTAATTCCCACGTTAAAAAAGTTATATGATAACTCTTAATTTTAACAATTAAAGTCTAAAATGTTGGAAAGGTATATTCATATTTTATATTTTAGCAAAAAATACAATTTTTGGCTATTACCTGCCTGCTGCGATTCAAATGTTTATTAAAAAACATTTAAGTGCGGATAAAAAATGTCGATATTTAAATAAAATGCAAGTCTTTACAAAACGGGCTTCAGGATATACTCGTGAGAGACTGGCGTGCAACTTTGGCATTCGACTCGTTTTTTATAAATTGACCAAAACGTTGAATGTGATTATTTGTGCTACCAAAGTGAAAAGCTGTTGGCAAACAATATGAATTATGCAGCATTGCTGAGATCTCAATAAAGCGGTGGCGAAATGCGCAGTTAATCTGCGAATATTACGCTGCTCGTTCAGCATAGAATAGAAAACGCAGTTCGGACCCTCAGTGGGGTCCAATGACAATGCTGTGCGTGGGTTTTGTGCGACAACTCGTCTTGCTTCGTCTTATGCGAAATTATCACAGAAATTGCACAAAGCAGCTGAGGAAGAAGAAGAAGACGAAGACGAAGAAACAGCAGGAACTACAATTCAACGACTACCTGGCAGTGCAATAAATTGTAAAATTTAGAATGAAAGGGCTTTTTATGTTGTCCATAAGGCGGGTCCGGGTCCCAAGCCACCGCTATTTCTTTTCCCATAGCTGCTGCTTTTATCCACTTTTTATCAAAGCGCACACCTTGACGCCTTCACACACACACACTCTCACATACACATACGCACAGTATAGAAGAAAGAGACAGAGAGAGAGAGAGAGACAGAACTGATATGCCGAGTGAATTTTATTAGCACTCATAAGTTGTAAAGTGTATGATGGGGACCGGGGGAGGAGGAGGAGGAGGAGGGAGGACTGCGATTGCAATTGCGGGACTGCGACTGCGACTGTAACTGTAAATGTAACTGTGAATGTAACTGTAGCATACTTTACAGTGCGCCTCGCTTCATGTTAAACAGATTTTTATTGCAGTTTTTTACTTACATCTCTATATATTGTCGCGTTTTCGCTGGCATCGTCTGCTTTCTTGCCTTCTTTTTTTTCCTTTTTCTTTTTTGGGTTGTATATGAAATTTACTTTGTCGCTCATTTTCCATCGTTTTTATTTGTGTTTTTGTTGTTGCTTTGTCTTTTACATTCAACATTTCGTTTCATTTCACTTGGTCCTTCTCTTGTTGATGTTGTTGTCGTTATATATGTTGTTGTTGGAGTTGACTTCGTGTAGGAAATGAAATATTTTTGCATATAAAAAACATTCGACTTCATGCTGTGACAATGTTTTCCCCACTCATTCTATATAAACGTGCAGTTGTCTGTTTGTCTCCCTCTGTGTGTGTAAGTGTGTGTGTGTGTGTGTGCGGGTGTGCTGCTTTATTTTTATTTTGTTGTCTTCATTTCCGTCACGTAATAAAATAACAAGGTAAATATTCACACTTTATGCAAAGGCAGTCAAAGAATAAAAAAAGAACGAGCAGAATACAAGCTAAGCGCTTCATAAATAAGAAAATAAGGAGAAAAAATATAGAAGAAAATCAAACATTTTCCCTTTAGCGTTTGTGGGTCGCAATATTCGGCGCCCAAAGCGTCCGGTCCGATAACTTCATTAAAGACGCACTCTTATCATTAATCTTTCAGTGAGCAAAGCCACGTGTTCCGACTTTTGTAATCCCCCGGCTCGTCCCAAATTCGTTGCTGATTGTGTGAGTGCTCTTGTGTGTGTGTGTGTGTGTGTGTGTGTGTGTGTGTGGACACAAAACCTATAACAATTAGTTGAATTGACTATAAGAGAGACATGGACATGGTGCTTGGCATTATCTAACGCAGTAAATGGCAAATTATGTCATTAGTTTTATACAGACATTCGCATGTCGGAATTTGTTCAGTGAGGTGTGCAAAAATTTGTGATTAATTGAGTCCTTCAGCTGAAAATATGAACATTAGAATTCAAAGGCATTCAGATAGTGAGAAAAACATGCGGTACAAATTTGAATTAAACAAGATACGATTTTAGAAGGCGCAAAACATTTTATTCAGAAATTATAAAATCTTAAGTAGCCAATCGAAATGAACGAAAATACCAAGCAATGTCTAATCTTTATAGGCATTAAAAATCAATTAAACCACATGGGAAGGCAATGAAAAGTTCTTATATTGAACTAAAGCTATGATGCAGAAGTTTAATGTTAAATAATTCAAATAAGAAAATTAAAAATTGCAAGAGATAAACGTTTTTAAATTCACATAAGTATTTGCGTCAAATAGAATATTATGATTGTTCGATTGCAGAGCTGAGAAGGAGAAATGAACTCTCGTTTCTTGATATAGTAAAATATCAAGTAATGTTTTATTTCTATAAGCATTAAAAATCAAATGAAAAATCATGATTGTTCGATGACAAAGCTGAGAAGACTCGCTTGTTGCTTTTCCACTCATAGAGACTCAACTGGTGCTGCTCTTTCCCACCTTTCGGACTGTAAATTGTTCAAATTATTTTCCAAAAGTTGATAGCTGTAAGAAATTCAATCGCTACTAAATTGCTACAAAGTCAAATAGAGAGTTCGAAAACCATCAATAGTGGTCGCTTTGCATGTTCGCGTCTTATTAAATGTATGTAAACAACCGGATAAGTAATATGCAGTTTAGAAATCGCATAATGGTCTCCATTGCCACCTGCTGTGTTGGCGCGTCTAATGAGCGCGAGAAATTCAGCCTATAAGCGCAGAGGGCGGCCAATGGTCATTAATGAAAGCCATATCCGCACACACACACACACACATTCGCTCACCAATACATAGACAAACCTATGCAAGCATTGGTGGCTGCGTCAACATAATTGATGAGTTTTGCTCTAAGCAAGTAAGCAGCAATACGACTATAATGGAGACTCAGGCGTCCAAGCCTACAAGCCTTCATTCACGGGGTGGGGCAACGAAATGGTGGCGGTGTTTCTTCAAATGTGTATGTGGCAGCGAAGGCGTGCGCGCTCTTGGCCACACCAAATTGGCTTATTTTGCCGACAGTTTAAGCCCCTTGGGAGTTTATTGAAATTTAGTCGAAATAGCAAAACACTTAAGGTAGCACATACTCGTTTAGAATGTGAAGTCAACAACCAAGCGTTTGATAAATGATGATCTGCCACCCCAGGAGCTACACTGAGAAAATTATAAAAATGCGGCTTGAAAAATAAATTTTCTTCAAATTTAGCAAGCTGTTTTTATTGTAAGATTTGATCATTTCAAGTCAGATCAATTCATTTGTTTAATTACTAAAAGTTATTTAAACAGCTGAAAACAATTTTCATTTCTTAATTATTGAAAAAGAAGGGGTTAATGGAAACCATATGCAAACGTTATGGAAAACGAAGCAATATGAGTAGATCTAGGGTTGCTTGGTAGGCATTAGTCGGATGAACAGCAAATGAAGGTTTATATTTATTTGTTTGTTTTAATTGTAAGCACAAACATCACTTGATTGATGGCTCGGATAGCGCGGATATATGTCTGTAGATTGGTATTTACAAATTTCAATTATCTGCTGTAGATATTTGGAAAGTTGACGAAGTAGATTCGATTTTCATTCATAAAATATTAAAAAAGAAGGAGTTAATAGAACGATATGCAAACATTATGGAAAACGAAGCAATATGAGTAGATCTAGGGTTGCTTGGTAGGCATTAGTCGAGTTGTGGGGATCAACAACAAATGACGTTATATATTTATTTGTTTGTTTTAATTGTTAGCACAAACATCATTTGATTGATGGCTCGGATAGCGCGGATATATGTCAGTAGATTGGTATTTACAAATTGCTATTTTCTACTGCAGACAATTGGAAAGTTAACGAAGTAGATTCGTTTTTTGGCAGACTTTTGCTTGCAGGTCAAGCATTCTGTCCGCTTGTCCACAAATCCCAATGAATTCATTTGAAATTTCAAAAAACCCTGTACCCTAACATGATTTATTATACGTATAACAAAAGCAATAACAACTTTAGACAACTTTAGACTGCCTTTATTAGAAAATAAACGTAAGCAATATAACAGCAGCTAGTACTTGGCTTCACCACAAAATGCAATAACAAATTAAGCCCAATGTGACAGTTTGGAATGTTGACATCCTTGTCGGCCCACATGCCGGCATAGGATCATCGACACGCGGCAAACGGTTCGACACAGTGCAGGGATGGATAATGCCACGTTTCATGCAATCCGCGGAGAGGGAACGCAACTGACGTGCCGCCGACAGGCCGCACAACATAGCCGCCCGTGTATAGTAGCAGTCCAGGACATCATTGAAGATCTGACACACTTTGGTGGCGTTTCGCTTCTCATACCAGTCCGCTGGGGCCTCGCACTCGATCATGTCGGTGCGCAGCTCACGGATGCAGTTGTGGGAGTCGCTGAGCTCCGCACAACGCTTCCGAGTGCTGCTATCGCCGCCATCACACACCTCTGCCTTGAAGTAGTCCAGACCATCGGTTAGCTTGCCGTAGATGTTGTCCTCGGCCAGGCGACAATTCGCCGTGTTCGCTCTTATGTGCGACAGCACATCGCTAATTTCGCTGCAGGAGTCGATCAGCGAGGGCTGCGCCAACAACAGCATGATTCGCTCCGGACTGATGATGTAGAGGCGGGCGAGCTGCAGCAGCACCGGATTGTCATCGCACAAGCGCACCGTAGAGCTGCCGTTCTTCGGCTTGTAGCCCGGCGGACAAGTGCTGCCCTTGCCGGGCGTTTGAGAAGGTGATCCATAGCCACCAGCTCCACCACTGCCCTCAGCACTGCCTCCTTTGTGCCGTTGAGAGTGAGGCTCAAGGCCATAGCGATGGAAGTACCAGGGAAACCAAATGCCCTCCGCCAGCTGCAGACACGCACACAAGACTATGAGCAGGAATGGGAACAGCACTGCCATTGCTTATCCAAAAATATATGTGACACCTTTTTGTGTGGTTTAGTATATTTTATATATATTTTTTATAAAGTGACAATTGCTTTAATTTGCTTTTCCTTTTTACAAAATTCGAAATTCGAGTAAATGTTGTTTTTAATGTAATTGTTTGTATTGCTTTCCACTGGGGTCTCGTGGTTAATTGAAAACGCACAACATATAAAAAGGAATCATAATTAATTATGTCACATATATGTACTATTTTTAACAAGTTGTTAATGGGTTAACAAATAGAAGAAACACATTAAAGAACATTTTTAGCAAAAAACTATTCGACCCGCCCTTTTTAAAAGAGTTTTTAGTTTGTTACACAGACCAAAAACGTCAATGCCGATATCCATTAATGGTTACTTTTAAAAAATGTATGAGTTTTTAATACGTCTACAAAAATTACTTTTCCAGTAACAAAAGGCTCAAATAAGGAGGAAGGCCGACTGAGATATTTTAAAACAAAAAGGTTAATAAATTAAAATATGCTTTTATAGTACTTGTCGTAACACTATAAACTCATAGCTAAATGATCTTCATCTGAACTTTTAATAACCTCTCCCGCTTTTATGGTTTTCTTATTTTCTTAATCCTAATAGGGATTTAGAATTATAAATAAAACGCTTTTGTAGCACTTCAAATATTATTTATTTATCAAAGCTAATCAAGCTTGCCCTGGCTGCCTACAAAAAAAAATTAATAAAAACAAACAACAATTTAGAATTAAAATACCTTGGTAAATCCCCAAGCCATGAACAATTTTCGTTTGGGCAAACATCGATATATGGCAAGGAAAATAACATCGGACATCAGTTCGATCATGTTTTTTTACAACCCTAACGACTTTGTTTAATTATTGTTTTACGGGCACACTTATCCATTTTTTCGTGTCGCTCTTAAAAATTGAGCATTTTTTACAAGATAAGTGGAAATGAATTGAAAACACAATGCAACGGGAGCGGAGTCGGGCTAAAAAAAGGTGCAGATGAGGCAACTATGAAGATCTTAAAACACTTGGAGGAGCACAAAAGGTGAAGCTACAAATAGTTATTATCAAGACGTTTAATTTGTTTACTTAAAAAAAAAAGTGGAAAAGAAAGTCAATGCATTTGGCAGATGAGCATTGGGTTTGTGGCGGATGAAGTAATGTTCTAAATGTAATCCAAAGTACATCTTTTGATGGGCTTTTACTGAATATTTAAACAGTTTATCGAAACAGTAATCATATTTATTTTAGCTCTTGATTTTTGGTAATAAACTTAATATGTAATTTGCTTCGCCCTTCTTTATCAACACTACTTGGTTCCTGGCTTCTTGCCATCGGCGGTTGCTTTCTTTTCCGCTTCACGCTTGGCCGCCGCCTCTTGACGCTGCTGACGAATGAGGGCTAAGCGCTCCAGATCCGCTTTAGCTTCCGCCGTCTTGCCCTCTGCATGTAGCTTCTCGTAGCGTAGTCGGGCCTTTTGTTTCTCAATCTGTTCGCGCTCGCGACGTGAGAGTTCCGGCCTGTTGGAGGGAGACGGTCCATTGTCATCAATTGGCCCATCGGAGACTTTTTGTGTGGCCTTCCTTGTGACACGATTCGGATTCTCGATCTTGATGAGTGCGGCTACGCCCTTTTTGGCGCCGCGAGCAACTGTATCGTCTTCTAATTCCTCCTTAGAGTCTTCGTCGGATGAGTTGTCGGTGGCATTGTCCGACTTTTCTTGCAGCTCCTCGGGCGAAGTAAACTGACGGCTCCGACCTTTGTGGTTAACATACTTTCCACGTGGCATATCGGCTGCCTGGAATGTATTTTTGTTAAATTTTATCCTTGACTTACCCAAATATATATTCACACAAATATATATTTCAGAAAATATGTCAGTATTTACAAAAATATATATTTACACAAATTTATATTTTTGTATGTTCTACTTTTTAACTGTTTGTGTTGACAGTTGAAGAAAAGCAAACTAAGGTATTATGAATATAATTATGGGCCAAAGCTATAGTTGCCTATCGAAGAAAGAATATACTATAAATCCGACCTCCTCAGCTAAATTTAATTTTGTTCCCCGAAGAAAACTCAACCTTATTTGTTTGTTAAAAATCTTAATTAATTAAAAGCTTTTCTAGTAACACTTTTGCACGGATCGGTTATGAGCCATCTATATCGAACGAAAAGGTTATTTTTGATTTGTAAGAAAGTGTCCTGTGTATGGTTGCATCGAACCCAGTTCGACATTCCTATAATAGTTAGGATATGGCAGATATTGTACCCATATCTTTAACTCAACCTAAGCTAGGTACGCCTTCCAGTAAGATTTTATCTGGATTTTAGCGCGCCCCGATATTGCTGGTATAACGCGATCTGTGAAAGCCTCATTGTCGTGATTATCGTTTCTTGGCGATTGTTTTTTTTTTCTTTCGTAAACTCAATTGATAACTGAACCATTCATTTTGTTTGTCACATCATTTTTGTGATGATACCTTTGCTATTCTAATATTTGATAACCATTTTCTATTATTAGATTATCGGACATTTTTGTCACATTTTCGAAGTGAACTTTATTTGTTGTTTGTGCAAAAAACAGCTCATTTAAAAATTCGAAAAAATACCCGCCTTTTTCTATTAACTAAAATGATTTACACAAATGCTTTTATGAAAAAAAAGGGCAACCAAAAAAGAAGGGTTGGCAAAAGTTTTTGTAACTGCTGCTAAAATTTAATAGCATAATTAAACACAAGTATAATGGAAGGCAATGACTACCACACACAGACTCAGACACACCTACGCTTACACCTACACGCACACACAATGTCACCAGAAGCGGTGCCAACGACGACGTAAAATGGGCGCCAGTATTGTTGTTGTTGTTGTTGTTGTCTACTCCATTAAAATGGAGTTCCATGGGTCGCTGGGTTGGCTTGGGCTGCTTGGTTGTCTGAGTGGCGCCAACGAGACGTTCAAAACAAAAAGCAGATTGTTCACAAACAAAACACGCGCACATTTCAATGCTTTTTACCTGTAAATACGCCAGACGGCAGCAACAACAATTACAAGAACAATGATAACAGCAACAACAACAACAAATAGAGCAGCTGTCGTGCTGCAGATAAAGTATCTTTTTGTTGTTTTCGTTTCTTTTTTTTCGCTACAAAAAAATAAGAGCTTGCAAAACAGTCTGTACAATAAGTAGCTTTGTGAGAACCCGAATCCGATCCCCTACACCCACACTCACGTCCAGAGTTTTATTTTTCACCGTCTTCAATTGATAATGAACAGACGACGGGTGACCCAGCGACTAAACCAAAACGGACCCCATTATTATAGACGAATATCACTCTGTCATGGCAACGCGAGTGGGTTTTGCTAATGGCCTGGCTTTTCTTGATGTCATGCTACACTCGTATGCGTAGTTTGCATTTTTTTAAGTACTATTGTTTTTCATATCACATAACATATACATACATCATGCTATTTCCGTTGCTTTATTAATTTTTCATTATTGCATTGCAGTTTAAAAACAAATTAAATTTATATTAACGCCAATTTAATTATTAACCGTGTGTAAAATTGAAAATAACGCACGAACGCGCTGTGTATTAATCAGACAACAATGCGTATACGTAATAGCTCATAATAATTCACATGTAATCAACCTTGTTTTCCCAGCTTATGGCAACCGAAGTGTTTGAAAAAGGTGTGGGTAATGCACATGAATGAACAAACATGACAGTGCAAAATATTTTACAATACCTTACATTTACATTTATACACACACATAGTAATCAGCTTTAATGAAAACCCTCGCTTCATTTTTTGATATTAATGTTATTAATATGGAAAATAAATTCAACCACAAGGCATACTTTATTTTGATTCATTTAATTTATTTAGTCGGTAGATGTTTTGGCTAACGACAGATATATTTTTTTCAGGTAAATAAAAGTTTAAAAACGGTACATAAAAGAACTCTCGGTTTGACATTTTGACAGGAGATTAAAGTAGCTGCTTTTTAACTTAGAATCGTGTGTTTGGAAGAGCCTTCATTCATGCTTTGACTTTTTTTGACAGTAAAAAATTGTTTGCCGTTTACAAATTACATTCTTTTAAATGTATTAGAAAGTCTGGACGTTATCAATATATTTGTATTAAACAATTCTCATTATAAGCAGTTATTTCACCCACAACTATTAGATTAAATAGTCAAGGTCCTTATATGTATTCCGCATTTTTATTTCGAAGTTTATTTCCGTTTATAAAGAGATTCGTCTTTTTTGATAAATCTGAGTAATACATTGACCCATTCTCATACTTTATTAAGTCACTTAATCTTGCTCTCACCTCAGCCCATAATTTGATCATCACTCACCAGAGGCCCACACAAATGTCGCATGCCTTGAGCGGGAATGCCGCAGCACGTACCAACTAAAAGGGATGGCAAGGATGCCAAAGTGAGCATATTTAATAAGTTGACAAAACATATTTCACACGCACAAATGCGTCAGGCAATGGTTTGGGGTTCCATTTTGTTTGGCAATGCTTTTGCCTACATATGTCAAGCATCATTATTAACAGATTTTGGTTGTGACACGCACCGAGCACCCAGCAACCAGCCTGGCGAACCAACCCAACAGCAACAACAACTACAAGACCAACCATCCTGGCAGTCAGGCGGCCCCACAGGCAGTCATCGAAGCGTGGCCACTGGAAAGTAACCCACAAGCTCTGCCTTCGATACTGAGGGCATAAACAAACGGAAAACACAGCGTGTGAAAATGTTATTGACGTCTATTTCAATATTTATAAACGCAAAAGTATTATGTGAAATAAAATACAAATCCAAAGCTGCCTGAAAAAGGTGCCAACCAGGCAGGGAGGGGGAGGGCTGTACGTGCAATAGCGCGACACAGGATTTTGGTTTCATTAAATATGCTGAATGCATAAAACAACGCGGGGTGCATTTTTCAAACAAAGAGCAGCAGTTTTCGGCTTAATATCGAAGCACAGCAGCTGACTAAATACTAGTGTTTGACTTTAAAACCTTAAACAGACCGATAAACGCAAATCAATAGAGCCACATGGAATGCAGCATCCAGGCATTCAGTCAAAGTCCATCAACATAAATTTTTCTATGATTTCATATCAGTACAAGGAAAATAAAAACAAGACGAAATTCTGGCACGGTATAACGTTGAATAAACATTCGGAAAACGAATAAACAAATAAGATAATCAGCAGCTTTTGTTTGTACCTTAGTCCTACAATAGTTTCATCATTATACTTTTCTCGCCCAATGCGAGCTATTTTTCTGTTGAATTTTTAAAATTTATTTGAACCCTGAAACACTCTAGCAAAAGAATGAGTCCTGCTTGTGGGTTAACTTTTCTACATCTTCTCTTCATATAAAAGTCTCAAAGCTGATCTACTCACCTAAAGAATTCAAATTATTAATAGATTGAAGGACCTATCATAAAAATAGTTTTATTTATGTGCTCCTGATTTTTTTTATAAGACAATCGCATTTAGTTTTCAAGCAGCTGTCTGCGTGCAATTTTTTCTTTCGTGTACGCAGATGTAGGCTAAAAAAGATTTACTTCTTATGTATTTTATTGAAGTTGAGTCAGTAGTGGCATAGCTTCCCGGATTGGCTCCCACAGAGTCACTAAATCTCCACCTTTTAGCTTTTTATTATATTTTAGCTTTTACTATTTAAGTATTTTATTTTAATTCAATAATCATACTTTTTCCCTATTTTTCATTGCTATTTCTTATAATTTTTATTTTTAATTCTTTAGTTTAAGCTTTCTATAGTATTGATGTTTTTTTTACATCGACAGCTTTGTTTGTCGATTTAATAAATTAATAAAAAAATAAATAAAAAAAAATTCAAATATATAAAGCTTGTTGCGAAAATGTTGCATTTACATAAAACCATTTCTTGAATGATATATCTTGAATATTTCGAAATCGAAAACAGCAACCAGCTTTGATTAGAAAATCAAATTCAATTCTGAAGAAATACCTTTAGAAATGTTATTAAGCATGTGAAGCATTAAATGAATGTTTTATCCATTTCACTATTAAAGACTATCCTTGACATATAAGCTGCTCACACAACAGACTGGTTGCTTTTTTTTGGCGACATGTGCTGTGTCGGCCATTAATTGGGTTTTCCGGCATGTTAAATACTTCTTAATGCGACTTACAATATTTTTCAATTCATTAAATCCATTAAATATGTTGTATTTAATACTTTTGTAGTGCGAAATAAAGAATCTTTAAACAGCCGTAGATGCTCCCATTTATCTTGGTGGATGAAGCTATTATACTTTTGGCTTGGCTATAATACATCGTCACGTTACTGAGTGTGCGTGTTGTTTTGAGTGATTTTCTTATTGCAATTTTCCGCAACTAAAGCATACGGATCTCATGAAATATGCATCATTTAACATTTGCTACTCTGCTGCCATCGAGTGGCAACAGCTAGACTGTGTCCAGGACCAGGAAAAGGGCTTACTGCGCAACATAAGTGCCTCGGCATAGAAACTCAAACTAATGCGCTATGCTTGACTGGGCATCTAATAAGCGTGTGAGGTGCGTCTTAACAATTGAAATGAGACGCACATACTACGGTTATATAGCTGAAGTGGCAGGGCAGCCTTTCTGTATTACTCACAAGTGTCGTGGTCAACATTGTCGAACCAAACCAAATGCAACGCATTGCTAGCGAATAGAACCCATATCAATGGTAAAAGCATTGAACCGTTTTATTCCGGACCAGACGGTCTTGGTTGCAAAGTGCCAGAAACACGCACCTCAGCATTTTAATGTTAAATGGTAAACAGTGGTAAGAAGTTTATTATGGTGCTATTGGCAGCAATAAATATAAGCAGTTTTAAACAATATCACTGCAAATTAATCTTGTTTGAACCAACTTAGTATAAAGCGATATTTGTTTTTTTTTTAAGAGAAACTTTAAGGCTCATTAAAGGAGATTCCATTTAATATGTAATATTAAATAAAATGTGTCATTATATCTTTAGAGAAAATTTTATACAACATTTATATTATCTGATTCTGTACAAAGTCACTAAAAGTAGCATTGATTTGTTTATAATAATTGTTCCTTAATAATAAAATGTCATAAAATATAAATGAAAATGAAATCTTTGAGAAAATTTTATACAACATTTATATTACCTCATTCTGTATAAATTTTCGATATGGCAAAGCTTCCCAATTTTACACAAACACATTAAAAGTAGCATTGATTTGTTTCTAATAATTGTTCGAGTTGTTTTATCCTTCTTGATATCCTTGATACTAAAATGTAAATGAAAACGAATGTAGCTAGCATCCTTCACATCAACATCAAAGTTTCAGCTCCTAGTCAATATATTTTTTCACAAATCGTTTGCATGTATCGTTTGCAAGGAAACAGGAAGAAGAGATTTTTTAAAATTGGATAACGAAACATATTTTTTGAACCACTGTGCAGGCTAACCTTTTTTGAAATTTAAATAAAGCTACTATACTATAAAAGGCACGTCTCAGACGGACCAGCCAATGGCCAGAGCCAAATCATTGGCATACAAGTATTTATGTGCGTAGACCGATTTGGTCGAGTTCAATGCATTGATTATATGTCGATTACGCATACGCAGCGTGTTGCGACGCGACTGTATAAAAAAAACCACTTAATGTAGTAGCGACTGCCGCAAACTATCTTCGTTCTGCTTTGAATTAAAGCCTTGCCCTTAAAATTTTGCATTATTCAATAATTTATTGATTGCCCTCAATAGCCAACAACAACAACTTTAATCGAATGCCGAGCTTTGCCAACTCAGACAACCTTCAGAGTTCGTTCAGAGCTGTGGTTCGTTGCATGTCGCTGTCATGGGGAACTTATTTAATTTATAATCAAATCAAAAGGCGGCCAGGCAATTCAATAAAAGTCAAGGCAAGTGCGGGGCGCACAAACTTGTAGCATTTTGCTTATTGGACATTCAAAGTGCCTCAAGCATGAATTATGGGTGGCGAACGCAACGAGCAAAATTTGTTTGTTAGCTGATGTTCATTGTTTGTTGTTGCTGTAGCTGTTAAAAGTTTGAGAAATGAAAGTAAATAAGCGTGAAGATTCGCTTAGTGACTTTGACTCTAAGTACAGGAATTGCTAAATGATAAGTAAATTGAACTTTTGTTCAGTTTGTTCATCTATTATTTGTTTGCAACACTTTTGCAAAAGAGCGAAACTTGGTTTCATTTTCGGACTTCAGCTAAGGGAGAGCTGGCTTTGTGGCTAAGTATTCCTCAAGTGGGAGTTTGAAAAGGAATATATTAGTAGCTCAGTAGGAGGCTACTAATTTAATGGACTATTTAAAACAAGAAAGGAATGCTAAAGTCGAGCAGGCTCAACTCTTAAATACCCTGTACCACCCCACAAAAAAGTAATTTAATTAATTAATTAATTTAATTTAATTAATTAATTAATTTAATTTAATTAATTAACTAAATTAATTTAATGAATTAACTAAATATTAACTAATTAAATATAAAATATTCCATGCATGCATACATACATTTACATTTACACCAGTATCGTGCCTTATGCGTGTTTGTGTACTTGTACATATGTATGTATGTGTGCATTGGGCCTGGTTATATGGCTATAACTTTCTTTTTGATCATTCTATCATAATGAAACTTGGTATACGGATATATAATTACTAACCTAATGTGACTACCAAATTTAAGTTCAAAATTCCAAGAATTACGGGAGTTATAGAAAATTGGTAATAGGGGGGGAGTGGGGGGTTGGATCAGAAAAAATGAACAAACTCGTCCTTTCTCGGTCGCAGGAGAATCTGTGTACCAAGTTTGGTTATTCTAGCTCTTACACTTTCGGAGATCCTTGCGTTCATACAGACAGACAGACGGACAGACAGACGGACAGACAGACGGACAGACGGTCAGACGGACAGACGGACAGACGGACATGGCTATATCGACTCGGCTTGTCATGCTGATCAAGAATATATATACTTTGTGGGGTCTACCAAGCCTCCTTCTGTGTGTTCCATGTGCACTCGCACAAAACTAATATACCCTTGTACCCTTTGGGTACAGGGTATAAAAAACAGATGCCAACTATAATAATTTGGAAATTATTTTATTTGGGCATTTTTCGTAATGGCGTGTACTTGTTTTTATACCCTGTACCCAAAGGGTACAAGGGTATATTAGTTTTGTGCGAGTGCACATGGAACACACAGAAGGAGGCTTGGTAGACCCCACAAAGTATATATATTCTTGATCAGCATGACAAGCCGAGTCGATATAGCCATGTCCGTCTGTCCGTCTGTCCGTCTGTCTGTCCGTCTGTCCGTCTGTCTGTCTGTCTGTATGAACGCAAGGATCTCCGAAAGTATAAGAGCTAGAATAACCAAACTTGGTATACAGATTCTCCTGAGACCGAGAAAGGACGAGTTTGTTAATTTTTTCTGATCCGCCCCCCCACTCCCCCCCTATTACTGATTTTCTATAACTCCCGTAATTTTTGAGCTAAAATTTGGTAGTCACATTAGGTTAGTAATTATATATCCGTATACCAAGTTTCATTATGATAAAATGATCGGAAAGAAAGTTATAGCCATATAACCAGGCCCAATGCACACATACATACATATGTACAAGTACACAAACACGCATAAGGCACGATTCTGATGTAAATGTAAATGTATGTATGCATGCATGGAATATTTTATATTTAATTAGTTAATATTTAGTTAATTAATTAAATTAATTTAGTTAATTAATTTAATTTAATTAATTAATTAATTAAATTACTTTTTTGTGGGGTGGTACAGGGTATTTAAGAGTTGAGCCTGCTCGACTTTAGCATTCCTTTCTTGTTTACTTTTAAGTGCATTGCTTACAAATAAAAATTACGTTATAGTGTTGAAGATATAATTAAAAAACTTTAATAAATAACAATAAGTATTATCCATACAGCTGTACACTAATTCACAGATCACTGATCAATAATTCAAGCTTGACATAATAAATGTTCGTTTGTCTTAAGGCCCAGTGTCCCATTGAATCACAATGATTAAATTGACTAAAAACTGTCATTAAATTGGCGTAAAGGAAGTAAGTTTCTAACGTGATCCTAATACCGCCAGTGTTGATAAATATTTCAGAGAAACCTTTCAATTTGGACAATTTTTCTTTTCTCTAATATGTGTCCATAATAACTAACCTAGGATCCTTCTTTAATAAAGACAAAATTATATACTTTTCAAGGTGTTAAAAAAACTAGCTTTTAATAAAAATACATTTTAATGTATCCTTTAGGCTCTCACTTCAGCTATTTTCAGCTCTAGCTCCGTACAAAACGAAGTGTCCGTATAGTTCAATAGACGCATAGGAAATTTAAAATTACGTTTTATAGCATTGCTGACTATATTTAAAGTTTTTTGCGACAGATCACGATCACGCACGAAAATCGATATAGATTCTACAACAAAAATTTCAAATTAAATTTAAAAATTAATCCAAAAATTAAGCGCAACTCACTCATATGCTGACGCCCCATGAGGTAAGTTTTGAATTCGTAACAATAGTATTGAACCAATATATTTTCAAAATCGGTTTGCGCAAAATGCATCCAATACTGGTAATCGTGAAAGAAATGCTCGGTGCATTTTTCTTGCAAGTAATCCGGGTACACGGCATATTGGTGCCATATGCCTTCAAACTACAAATGGATTGGGGATATTATTCAATATTGAGTACAAAAAAAAAAAAATAGTCGCAAATATTTACCGCTTCCCGTTTGACTAAATTAAACGCGAGGGGAATCATTTTTGGACATTGACCCTTGAATGCCTGGACGTGATGTTTTGACCATGCAGGGCTTATGCAGTTTTGGAAAACCAAACCAAATAAGAAACTTTTTGGAATTCAATAACAAATATTTCGTTGAGTAGTTACAGTTTCATTTCGTCTTACCAAAATAATTTCCTCATTATAATACGCTAACTAATGGTGTGACAACGAGGAACTGCAACAGAAACTAAATTTCTCTGTCTGTTCATATTTAGTTACAGCTTAAGCTAACAAAGCGTTTCTAAATCTTGATATGCATGCCAAATGTGGACTGAAGGGCTGTGGAGTTTCTAAAACAATGGATGATGGGGAAAAATGTATATCAAGCGTTTGTTTCTAATGAGACAGTTAATAGTAATTATAATAGTTGATAAGTACGGGTGGTTTTAAAAATGTATAATAGTCTAAAGATCCATAGAAAATATACACTGGTCGGCACAATTATTTTGACGAGAAGAAAATCATACATTTTTGTCAATAACTGGTTATTGGTTTAAGATATCAAAGGAAACTTTTTTTCTCAATTCCATATTGGTATTACAAACTTAAAAATAATTCAAAGGATATATTTTTATAAGAACTTTTAAAATTATAAATCAAGGTAATTTTCATGGGTTGGCATAAGTATTTTGACAATGGATATTAACAAAAAAAACAAAGCTTAATACTAAACAAAACATAAGAAATTGATGGTAGATTAATAAAATGTATACCCGCCTTTGGCTTCGATAACTTTTTGAAGACGTCTTGGAACTGAGTCCACTAAATTTTGAAGGACCTCTAATGGTATCTCTTTCCAAAGAGAAGTGACCTCGGAAATAGTTTCTTCTTCGGTTTTATGCAAAGACGCATTTCTTTTACGTTTTACAAGAGACCACACATTCTCAATAACGTTTAAGTCCGGACTTTGTGGTGGCCAATCCAGAGTAGTAACACCAACATCGCTTAAAAATGCTCTTATCATTTTGCTTTTGTGGCATGGGGCGTTATCCTGTTGCAGGATAAATGATTCTCCAATCAGCCTGTCACCGGAAGGGAATGCGTTTTCGTTAAGGGTACTCAAATATTGTTGCTGGTTCATTGAGCCGGTGATGGGAACGAAATCACCTAACCCATTGTACGCAATGCATCCCCAGAACATGACTGAGCCTCCGCCATGGCTCACTTTTTGACATACGGGGATATTTTTTTGTCTTTGAAACTGTTTTGATGAATTATATTCAAAGGAGCTTTCATCTGTCCATAGAACGCTTCTCCAAAACTCTTTTGGCTTATGCAGATGCTCCTTTGCAAAAGCCAATCTTTTGAGCTTGTTCACCTTTGATATGTAAGGTATGTCCTTCGCTTTGTATGTCTTAAAATCTTCTTCTTTTAGGCGTCGCCGAACAGTACGCTCACTGATTGGAGTCTTGGTCGACTTATTCCATTGATCTGCAGCAGCTTGCGGCTTTAAATGAATATTTTTTTTAAATTCCCGCAATAGGACTCGATCTTCAATGGGTGTTGTTTTGCGGTTAGCACCTGATCTAGGCAAGTTTTTGACGTCATTGTGGGTCTTATATTTGTTAATTTGATAGTGGACTGTTTGCCGCGACAAATTATATTCATTTGCAATGTCTTTTGGTGCTACGCCGGCATTAAACTTCGCCACTATTGAGGCTCTAACAACATAACTTAATTCTGTCTTTTTTACCATTGTATCGATTACTTTTGAATCAAATTTTAATGAAAATAATGTAAAAAGGTCAACAAAAATTGTTACACCAAAGTTATTTTAGTATCACTTGATAAAACGTACGCGAAAACGGCGACAAAGATTTGGTCAAAATACTTATGCCGTGCCTGAATCCGCAGTCAACTCACATTGTCATTTGTAGAAAAAAGGTGTGAAGAGTAATAGACAAAATATTTTGCCTACATATTGTTGTTGCTATGAACTCAATATCCCGTATGAAAATTGTACCGTTATTCCTTGAAACTAAAAGCAACCAGCACCGATAGTCGTGAGTACAGTTCGTCAAAATAATTGTGCCGACCAGTGTATATTCTTTAAGCCGCCTAAGGCTTCTCGGTATCTGGAATAATTCAAACAATGAGCAGAAAAAAATGTTGAATTGTTATGCATTTTTTACTTGATTTATTTCGTCAAAGTTTTTTTTTGGCAATAATTCTAAGTATTTGAAGTAAATAAACAATTGCTAGTTACTTATTGTAAAAGTTGCGCTTTAAAGATTTAAATATTTTATTTACGGGTGTAATAATATATAGAAAATATAAAATAAAATAAAATTTTTTATTTTATTATTATTATTATTATTATTATTATATATTATTATTACATAAAAAAATATATAAAATATAATATAAATGAAAATTTTGTTCATCTTGTAATTTTCTACGCTTTTTCTACATTTAATTCTCTAGCTAGATTTTTTCTAGATTTAAATAATTTATTTAAGTATGTAATAATTCAAATGCATGATATATATGAAAACTTTGGTCATCTTGTAATTTTCTAGGCTATTTATACATTTAATTTTCTAGGTCATTGTTGCATTGTGTAATTAGCTTTGTTTCCAGATAAATAAATAAGAAAAAAACTTAGCAATTGTTTGTGTTATTAAAATTAGGAAAACTGAGGTGGAAAATTTCACACAAAAAAAACTACAACAAGTTTGAGGTCGACCGTAAAAAATTCGTTTCATTTCAAAGCAAAGAAAAATCCAAAAGAAAACCCAACGCATAGGAAGTCACAAAGAACAAAAGTGGAAATGCCAACACACACACACATCTACACACCATTTATACACACAACCTTATATGCTTCAGGTGGCAATGAATTTTTAGTGCGTGTCTTGATTGTAAATTGGAGCATAAAAATGATTTTATGAACCACGTTAGCATGCCACACACACACATATATATACACACACACTTACTCACATGCGAACGCTGTGTGGTGCATGCACATTTAAAGAACAACAAAATGTGTGTATATTTATGCGATTATTGTTCTTGTAAATGCATTATTGTTATAAAACTGGCATAATGCATTTTGGGCTCACAAATGTGTGCGTGGGTGTATGTGTGTGCGTGTGAGCGACCATCGTCGCCATTGCATAATGACATTGACATGCACTGACATGCACATCGAGCAGTCGCGAGAGTTCGCGTGGCACACTTCTGGGCGTTGCCTTACACTCATTGCAGTATTAAATAACAGCCAAGTTAAATGTCTTAAATTGATGCCCTAAAAGAGAGACGTCATTAGTGTAAAATCCATTGCAAAGCTGCTCTGGATAAGAGGGGCCTGCGCTTCAAGCGGCTCAAGTTGTCGCCTCTGTTGCTTAGTCGAGCTCTCAGCCGAGTTCGCAGTCGAGTGAGTCGTCAGTCGTCGACAGTCGTCTTCATGTTCAGTAGTTGAGGTCTTCCTCTTCGCCTTCGTCTTCAAGTTGGCGGCTTGATGGCCTGATGGCCACATAACATGCATAAACTCATATCTTAGGAATGTAGAGCGAACTGCTTCAATGTCTTTCCAAATACAATTTTCCGTCTCGGTGTGGTTGTGTATTATATTCACTTCAACTGTTGTGTGGTAACTGAACAGCTGGCTGGGCTGACTAACTCACTAACTTGGCTCAGTTTCCCATTGCCGTTTGAGGTTTTGTGGTGCGACGTCTTTTTAATGAGTGGCTGCCTGATATCTTAGACTTGGAGGTTTTTTTTTTAATAGTTTGCTGTTATTATTGATTTTATTTTCATATCAAGGTTTAACTTGATTTCACTTTCTTCATTTGGAAGTGAAAGTGAATTGTTAAATGAGATATAAGCGATAAAACTATTGGCCCAGCAAAGTGCCAGCTTGGAAAGAAAAAGCAAGTATATTCGGCTATAATATTCTAAAGCTTTAAATGGGGTACTATATAGTTAATATAGTTAATATTTAAAAGTGCATTTGTGGGAAGTAATAATTACTTTTCTTGATTGTAGCCTTATTTTAGCCATGATGTGTTTGTGCAGTGAAGTTGTTCAATCCTATCGAGAGTCTAAACAAACATAAATTAGTGATAAACCAGATTATCGCTATCTAGACTGCCTAGACTACTAGTTGTACGTTAATACATTCTTAAAGCCAAAAACAACCAAGGAAAAACACAGACCTGATTTCTAACGAGCTCATAATGAGTTTAGCCTAGGCTGCTGAAAATGTTCACCAATATGAGCAAGCTGATAAGATTACGTAGAGGATATAGAAAAGGATAATAGTATGTAGAAGACAGCATTAGAACTATAGAATTTACATATAAAGTAAGCCATCCAGACATCAACGATGTTCCATCATCCACAAAGCTTCGTCGTTTATTATTGTAAGGTCTTCGCGAATATCCAGACAGACGTCAACATTAGGACTTTTTCGTTGCTGTTGCAAAGCTGTACATATTACTGTACTTTTATGACTGATAGATCTATTTCAGCTACCCACTTGGCTACCTCGAACCACGCCATTCGTTTCATTATATAATAATAAACGTCCCTCACATGTTCCTCACTTACTTTTATTTCCATCGACCTTAGCATTTCATTATCAATGCAGGAAAAATGCACACCCAAAAAAAAGTACACCAATGACCTATTTTAGCGCAACGAAATGTCGACATAAATACCCATACGGAACGGAAACGAAATGTGCTTCTTACACACTTACACTTATAGTCGTTATTTCATTTCCTCCATGACCTCAGGCAAATTAATTAAAAATCAACCGTGCATTGAGCACAAAACAGAAATCGAATGATGCGAAAAGAAACAAGTGGCAACAAGAAACAAAAAAAATGAAAATAAAATAAAACAAAACAAAAATGCAGCAGTGAAAAATGTTTTAAACTCAATTCTGGTAGAGGAAATAATTACGAAACAGAGGCAGCACCAAACAAAATGCAAGAGGTGAAAATTGCACTTGCGAGAGGAGAGCGAGAGTGAGAGAGAGAGAGAGGGAGGAGAAGGAGAAGCTAGAGAATAAAGGGGTAAATAGAAAGGTAGCTTCTGCGC